TGGGGTCTACTCTCAAGATGAACCGTCGCCTATAGATATAGTGTCTGAACGTGTCTAGACACCTAAAAACAGCTAACACTTCCTTCTTGAATTGACTGTAGTTACGCTCAGCCGTATTAAGTGTCGTACTCTCAAATCTTAACGGTTTTTCCTTCCCTCCAGCGTCCTTCTGAGACAGCAAACCACCTACTGAACATGGTCCAGCATCCGTGGATACTATGAAAGGTCTCTCGGTCTCATCGTCAAAGAATGGCACGCCCAACACGCGTCCTCCCTTCTTAAATTCGTCTTTAAGTCTTTGCATAGCGAGTTCCTGTGAAGAATCCCAGTATAATTTTTCAGTCTTTCGAAGGAGTAACCTCTATGGCTCAGCCTTCTCCGCATACCCCCGTATGAATATACACCAGTAACCGACCACTCCCAGAAACTGTCGGACCTCGGTTGGGCTCTGTAACGGTGACGGTCAGTTCAGGAGTTTGTCTAACTTCGCCGGATCTGCTCGGCGTCCTCTCGAGTCACAGATAAAGCCCAAGATCTTAATAGTCGAGACGGCCCATCGGCTCTTTGTTCCGTTGGCTGTTAGATTCGCATCGTCCAGCTTCTCGAGTACCGCGCAAATATCCGTTAGGTGGTGCTCGACGAATCTTCTAACTCCAGGTGCAACCTCTGCCTCAATCTTGTTTACTGACCCTTTTATAGGAAAGTCATSTAGAAAAACTTTAACCTTATCAGGGATGAAGTCCTTGAGAAYGGCTACCATGGCTCTCTGAAAAACGGCTACCCCATTAGTCCAACCCATAGGGACAACCATCATCTGTATCAGTCTCAATGGCGTATGCATAGCCGCGAGGTGCCTGTCTCTAGGGTCAAGCGGTACCTCATCATAACCTGAKAACAGATCACAGACCGAATAAATCGACCTACCTGCGGCGCCTTCTGCCAGTAAATCGGCGTGTGGCACGGAGCCCACGTYTCGTATCGTCACCGCGTTGACCTTCTGAAGGTCCTGGATCCATCGGATCTTGCCATTCGGCTTCCGTAGGAAGAACCATCGATTAGCATAAGCGCTATAAGACGGCTCCGCAACGTGGGAAACCATCTTTTCTTTCAGGAAAGCGATAACTTTTTCCTTCTCCTTCTGGGCGTATTTCTATCCCGCGTCATTCTAGGGAACATGTGGTATCGTGTAAATCCTTGCTGGCTTAGCGTATCGAGGGTCAACCCTACCGCGGTCCGCGTCACTAAAAGCTATGGCCTTATCTCATGTCTTCAGAATTTCTATCATACGTTTTCGCTCCTGTGGGGTCAAATTCCCATCTCCGATGTCCATCCCTGCTATCCTCTCTTCCGTTAGGCGTTG